TCAGCATGTCATTTCCTTAACATTTCATTTTAATAAAGTCCCTATTTGTTATTTGAGCCATATGCATTTTGGTCGGAGTTGTGAAGTATAACAATGTAAGTACACAAAGCTGTAATACTTATGTTTGTAAATACTATAAGACCACATCAAAATTGTTTCTTTTTTAAGGTGATCCAAGTCATTAGCCAGGCTTCTGGTAGATCCTGAGGATGATCAGAGATGCAGCGGTTACTCATTTTAGGAATGTAATATTTGAAGGTCGTACCTGTTTGTATCTTCTCATCACTCTTTGAACAGTGGAGCGCCACGAAAAGTTCAACAGCTGCTGTTGTCAACCCCTGAGGTCCTGAGAATTATCAGAAGCTCAGAGATTACTTCTGATCTAACCAAATGTCTCAACTCTGAAGGATATTTGCAGAACATAACATTTGTAAGTTTTTATATGACTCAATAACTAGTGATGATTTGTCCAAGTTAGTTTTCATAGTTCGTTTTAAATCAGCTATTGTCAGAGCAGTAGGGTTGATATGTAAAGCTTACTGTAACTTTAATGAAATTAAAGCCCAGTATATTGAACAGTAACATGGGTGCCCACAGGGAACTGTGGTAACAGTTATCTCTTGATGATGATCAGCACATTGAGAAAAATTCGTGTGAATACTCGTGGACAATCAAATTATTGTTCTAATAAAAAAAGAAACCTGTGAATTGTAGTAACAAATCAACACAATTCAATTTTTTTCTAATTTTGATTTATGCAGGTGCCAACAAAGGCTGGGGAATGAAAACATCTGGACCATAATGATGTGAATACTGATTTTTTTGTAAAAAAATGTATGAGATTTATATAACAAATATATATTTAGGTATTTGCAGTATATGTTTTTCTTCTGAATTTTTCCAGATTAGTAAGTCGATATGAGTGATCTTATAACAGCTTGTGTTATTGACGTTGCTATTTTAACATACAAAAAAAGCATTTATTCGTCAAGATAGCGCAAAATGTTAATAACACATGCTGTTATAAGATCTTCCATATCCTACAACATTTCTATATATATATATATATATATATACAGGGTGACTTTGAAGTTGAGTCATTAATTTTCAGATAATGATTGTAGAAGGAAGATAAACCAAAATATGTGTGTAAAAATAAAAAAAAAATTTACCTTGTTTCATAAGGTATCCTCCCGACAAGTATTTCAGTGCGGACCTGTATTTGATCGTGAGGTCTTGTAGCACCGGCATGCCCTCCCCTGTGAGGTCTTAAATCACCTGATTCACGAGCCCGTTGTACTACATTATCAGAGGCACGAGGGGTTGATTGCACTCGATTGGGAAACCGATCCGCATAAACATGTGCCATTTTTTATTTCGTTTGAGCCACGCAGCAAACACCACTATTCACTCACGCGTTACCGACTGACACATTGACTGAATAAAAACATCGTGATCAGCGTTTCAAATTCTTTCGCTTTTTTGTTTCCGATGCGATGAACCGATAAGGCGGATTATATACGTTGTTGCCAAACACGAGCACATAATATTATTATTGAGACAGGGCGGTACTCAAACTTCTAAAGGGCTATAAGTTTGTTACTTTAATTTTACCAGAAAAATGTTAAAGGAAAAAAACATTTCTTTTGATCAGATCTACTCACTGTTAAAATAAATGACTCAACTTTCAGTTTTCATTTGAAATAAGTATGTTTTCTTCTTTGTTATGGAGTATACTCTTCATAAATATATATATATATATATATATATATATATATATATATATATGTCATATCTATCTATTCTATATAGTTATAGCCCTTTGGAAGTTTGAGTACCGCCCTGTCTCAATAATAATATCATGTGCTCGTGTTTGGCAACAACGGATATAATCCGCCTTATCGGTTCATCGCATCGGAAACAAAAAAGCGAAAGAATTTGGAACGACGTTTTTACAATTATTTTATTCAGTTCAGTTATAGATACAGTTAGTGTCAGTCGGTAGCGCTTGTGAATAGTGTCTGTTGCGTGGCTCAAACGAAATAAAAAATGGCACATGTTTATGCGGATCGGTTTCCCAATCGAGTGCAACCAACCCCTCGTGCCTTTGTTAATGTAGTACAACGGGCTCGTGAATAAGGTGACTTAAGACCTCACAGGGGACCTCACGATCAAGTACAGGTCCGCACTGAAATATTTGTCGGGAGGATACTTTATAAAACAAGGTAAAAAATTTTTTTTATTTTTTTTTTATTTTTACACACATATTTTGGTTTATCTTCCTTCTACAATCATTATCTGAAAATTAATGACTCAACTTCAAAGTCACCCTGTATAGATAGGAAGATAGTTGTACATACTTCGAAAAAAGCTATCAAGGCACCCAGTGTTAGTAAAGTATTTTTTCATTTTAGACATGGAGAGTAAGTTTGAAAATTTCCATCAACGTTCAGATGTGTAGATGACAATGTAAAGCGGTGCGTCTGATCGAATGTCAATGATGTGTGGTGCTTTGTAAAAGTGTCATGTATGCGAGACTAAAGGCGGGGACAGATTATTGTCACGTCACGTGATGCCACGTTCAGTGTACTTCCACGTATCATTATTCTAAGAGATGTATCTATCTCCAGGAAAACTTTTCATTGAACTCAGATATCAAGCGATTATACCGCATTTATGCTATCGCACAAGCTTATTGAATGGTTTGTTTTTTTTTCTATAAAAATATACTACCATACACTAGACATGATAGCTCGTCCAACCTCGAAATATAAATTATATGATGATATAATCTATTACCAAAATAAAGATACAAGCGCAATGTATCGTATGCCACTGTTAGTGCGTTAGCGATGGCGTGCGATAAGTTACGCTAATTGGTCCCGTTTCGTGCTTGATTATTCCACACGAACCCGTGATGAATGTGTGAGGTGTGACCAGAACGTCCCACCACATATCTTTGAGGTACCGTGAGTTTGTGTGATAGCACGCGAGCTAACGTGACGTGATAGTAACGTGTTTCCGCCTTTTTAACATATTTTAATATCATTTCCAATTCCTGATTGCCGTCATAGGTCCAGCTACCGAACTTCATGTCACAATGTTGGTCATCAAATGGGAACCACGTAATGTCTATCTTGCATGTGCTCTTGAAGATACCGGGTGGGACATACAAGCAGCTGCCGTTATGTTTGACCACAACGTTTGTTTGGTAAGTCCCGTCGAAACCCTCATCAGCACTTCATTGTAACAACACAAACTGTGTTAAAAAATCGCCTATCATGCTTGACTGTCTGACAACTATTCTGTGATTTTGTAGAACACCGATCGCCGCGATATCTTACATGCAACAGTCATCTGTAGATCAGGCTTATAGTCGAGTACCCAAATTGAAGAGAGCATCGTAATACATCGTACGTCACTGTCTATTTGAATATGTGCTAACAGTGGCGGCGGTGAGCTATGTTACTGTCTTCTAATTTGAAACTTGGCACAGAAAAAATGTATAGACGGATTTTTTAACGGATAATATTCTTGAGAGCAAAGGAAACGGTCAGGCATCTAACGATACAAAATATTCTGTTCGGTAACGTTTTTAATAGACGTCAAAGCTGGAGATATCGGTATTTAGAGTAGAGGCATAAGAGATCTACAAAAGAGTTTTAGGGGATGAGAAGACCTCAAAATCAGATTTACTACAGTTTTGTTTTTTAATGATAACCACACCAGTCTTCATTTTTCATTTCAGTTTTACCTTTATGCAGTTGCAACTTTTTCTTGTAGTCTTCTGTAGACTAGTTATACCAATACTTCGTAGTTTTTTTGAATATATATGAAGTGATGTTCTCCAATCTTGTCGTTTGGTAAAAAAGTTATCTTAAAAACTCTTTGTGATTCTAGATGAGGGCCCTTCTTATTTACTCTCAAAGGTATTATTCCATTATAAAGTCTGTCTATAGAATGTTTGTTCTAGAATTAGAGATGTCCTGATCTACTGACGAAGATCAAACATATAGATCACGAGGTACTTCCAGTTTCTAACTGAGCACTGCCCCAGTGTCTATCTAAATCAACTTAAACCTATTTGGTTTAACACTGAGGCCTGTCTACCTTAGAAAGTTGGAAGACATCTGATACACATGCTTGATACTTTCATTCCAAATCGCTGGCATTCTTAACTAAAACACCTGAACTTGTTTGCTACCCACAATTTACTGCAATCCATAAGATCCCTGGAGTTAGACCTACGACATTTGTTACTATTAATTGTAGCACACTTCCACTTTCAAAATGTTTTTAGGTTGCTCTATCCGTAACGCGTACAGAAGCGACACAAAAGTAGGAGAAATTTGAGCAGTAACCAAAGTTATAGCCCTTTGGAAGTTTGAGTACCGCCCTGTCTCAATAATAATATCATGTGCTCGTGTTTGGCAACAACGGATATAATCCGCCTTATCCGTTCATCGCATCGGAAACAAAAAAGCGAAAGAATTTGGAACGATGTTTTTACAATTATTTTATTCAGTAGTATACATACAGTCAGTGTCAGTCGGTAACGAATAGTGGTGTCTGTTGCATGGCTCAAACGAAATAAAAAATGGCACATTTTTATGCGGATCGGTTTCCCAATCGAGTGCAACCAACCCCTCTTGCCTTTGTTAGTGTAGTACAACGGGCTTGTGAATCAGGTGACTTAAGACCTCACAGCGGACGGCATGCCGGTGCTACAAGACCTCACGATCAAATACAGGTCCGCACTGAAATACTTGTCGGGAGGATATTTCATAAAACAAGGTAAACATTTTTTTTTATTTTTTTTTTATTTTTACACACATGTTTTGGTTTATCTTCCTTCTACAATCATTATCTGAAAATTAATGACTCAACTTCAAAGTCACCCTGTATATAAAGTATAGCGATCTCAGATTTATATGCAGAGCTGGCAACGTTGCGGGATATTAATGCACAATCTGGCAACCATGTCGCACCCTCAAAAAATGGCCGCTGTCAACCATACAAGTCACCGCGTTGCCATTGAATAGCATGGAATTAAACCTTCTTCAGTGAATATGTTTTGTGGTCTATATGTTTTGTGGGTGTACATATATCAGTGTATTTATTTTGTGATGTAAAGAGTTATATAGTGATTATTGTAAATATGGGTTCCAATTCAGATGATTTCTGGACGTCTGGGTCATCACTTGTATTTAATTTCGATGATGACGATGAAGTAAGTATTAAAATTTCATTTGTTTGGAATTTATTAATATCCTGTTTGGTTGCTCTTTTAGGAAATCGTTGAATCAGTGGATGATTTTGTATTCAAAACAAGTGAAGATTGCAGTGTAGTCCCAATTCATTCCATTATAACGAAACATTGCTTGGATCTTAGTAAGTAAAGAAAAATCGATATCGATAAGTGTTCATTGAATTGAATTTTTTTAAGTTTTAGCTGATGCAAAACCACGTAAACATGATTTACCTTCAGTTGAAATCGCCATACAAAGGTTGTTAAATGGTCAAAAAAGTGCTATATACATTTATAGAAGTTTGAAGCACAAGATTTCATTACTTGAAGCTGCTCTGGATATTAAAGAAGGGAATTTAATTCTCATGGTAATTTTGACTTTCACTACTTCTATTTATATCAAGAATTAATGCAGGATGACCTTAGGATCAAAATTCCCGATATAAACACTTTCAGGGCTATTCTTTAACAGGATGAGTCAATCCTCCAAACAAGTTGTATTAGAGTTAGATATGGTATTTGGGTATCAACTCAGAAAAATAGCTTATTTTGTTTTCATATTCATTATTGTTAGAATATATCATCAACAATACTTGTATTCCATTGATCTTAGATTGGTTCTTAGTGTTCTATACTCAATGACTTTTTTGAGTTAATGTTCTACTGGAAGGTTGTATGAATTGCACTTTCATTTTCTGCTTACCTACTTATTTAACCAGAAACAAGCCCTCTGTGGCCCTGGGACATTCCTATACCTGAGCATATCTTTTTTTATTGAAACACCATTAAATGTAAAAACCCATCTAATTCCTAAGCTATTAGTGACCCGCCCCGACACTCATATGCTTGAGTCTAGCCAAACCATAGGGAAAAATATGGTCCAATTTTTTATTTGCTGCAGTCTGTCAGAGGGCACATTTCCATTTGCTATTTCTGTTGCATAGATGCGTGTGCAAATATGGCAGGACCTTCAAAGCATCTCTGTTATGATGTCCCAAAGTTTGAAGAAAAAATTCTATAATGGTATGAGGAGGAAGGAAGTGATTTTAGTGGTATAGACAGTGCTTCATAAGACGATTGTATAGGATCAGACTATAAAAGTTATAGTGAATTATCAGAAGATCAAGCAGAAGAAAATGCAAATAATTTACTAGTTCATAATTCTTCCTATTGCAAAAATCGTCATAAGTGAAGTATTTCGGAAGTTCTACCATCATCATGTACAAGGAAACATAATATAGTCATCAAGGTACCTGTCCTAAGAAGAAAAGCTCATGAATATGGAGAAGAAGCAGCTCTGTTGACTGTTAGGCAGCTTCTATTTACTGATGATATGTTAGTACATATCATTAACAGCACGATTCCACAGTGCACAGAGTGCCCTGCGTAATCTCAGAGACTGTTCTACAAAAACGACCCCTAACTACCATGCTAAGTCATCATCATAGGCTTGCACATAAACACCCACACTGCTAAGCCTAACGAGGAGTTTGTCCACCACAGTAGGTGCTGATGCTGATGACGTAAGCATAGTGGTTAGGGGGCGTTTCTGTAGAACAGTCTCGGAAATTATGCAGGGCGCTCTGCGCTCCGTGGAATCGTGGTGTAGGGAAGTCGATCTTTCTGTTAATGCTGAAAAGACCGAGCTGATCCTATTCACTAGGAGAAGAAGGCTTGACGGACTGGTCATGCCTACCTTCTTTGGGACTAGATTAGTTTTGTCCCAGTCAGTGAAATATCTGGGAATTATCCTGGACTGCAAACTGAACTGGAGAGAGCATGTGGAACACAAGGTTAGCAAGGCTCGCAATTCGATGTGGGCTTGTAGACGTGTTGTCGGTGTAAGGTGGGGGCTTAAACCCAAAGTGGTATACTGGCTCTACACGACGATAGTACGTCCATCTCTCTTGTACGGCTCCCTGGTCTGGTGGCCTTGCATTAGAACTGAGTCAACTAAGGCCAAACTCAATAAAATTCAGCGTTTGGCCTGTATTAGCATTACAAGCGCAGTGCGAACAACGCCATTGAGTGCAATGGAAGCTCTGTTGGATCTCCCACCGTTGGATCTGGTGATCCGCGGTGAAGCGAGAGTAGTCGCTCATCGACTGTGGAGTCAGGGCAGCTGGGCTTTCTTGAATCCGGTCAAGGGGCATACTGCCATATTAGTCGAATTAGAAAGGGAGGACCCCGTCCTTCTAAGCAGGGGTGATCGTATTACCCCTAAATATCGCTTCAACCGCAAGTTCATTGTGGAGTACCCAACGAGGGAGGAGTGGGACGCCGGTAGCCGAGGACTCTCCGAAGTGAGCGGGCAGGTCTGGTACACGGACGGCTCGGTCACCGAAGAGGGCTCAGGTGCTGGGGTCTCTGGACCTAGAACTAGGCTATCTCTGCCTCTCGGTGAGTACACCACCATTTTCCAGGCGGAAATCTTTGCGATTCTGGCTTGTGTATCTCACATTCTGGAGGAGGGTGGGCCTAGGAGAAGAATAACAATCTTATCCGACAGCCAGGCTGCAATGAAAGCACTAAGTGCATGTAAGATTACTTCGAGTCTTGTATTGCAATGCAGGGAGGCTCTGGATTGCCTCGCAGCGAGGCATCCGGTATCGTTAATATGGGTACCGGGGCACGCCGGGATAAGGGGCAATGAGACGGCGGACACTCTGGCGAAAACAGGATCAGCCAGCAAGCTCGTTGGTCCTGAGCCAGCTCTAGGAGTAACCGCGCATAAAGCTAGGAGGAAAATGGAGACGTGGGTTGCAAGACAACACTCTCAGAAATGGAGAAGTATCTCTAGACATCTCCGCCAGGCACGAGAGCTCATTGAAGGGCCCAGTGCTAAGGATGGACGCTTCTGCCTATCTCTGGGTAGAGCCAACCTAAGGTTGCTGGTGGGACTGTTGTCTGGCCATAACACGTTAAGGCGGCACCTGCACGTGATGGGGGTGGCTGAGGATCCCTTGTGCGAACGCTGCGGAGTAGAGGAAGAGACCTCGGCGCACGTTTTGTGTCGCTGTGAAGCTCTGAGCTACTATAGGCAGACTATACTGGGGTCCATTACTTTGGACCCTCAGGACGTAAAGGAGCCTGGACTCAAGGCGATTCTCAACTTCGCTAAAAGGGCGAGGCTTGTGATTTAAGTATTGTAGAGGTGCATAAGGGCCCGCTTAAGCGGCCTATGCACTGGCTCCTTATGGTGGCCGGGATGCCTCTAAAATTCAAGATTCATTCATTCATTCATTCAGGTGTGACAAAACTCAATCCTGCTGACAGCCCCGAGCTACACTGACACTTCAGCTTACGTCATTCAGCAAAGCTACTCGACTATCCAGAGTGGATAGAATCCATTCTACTGGGATTAATCCAAATCTGTGCCTAACCAAGGCATGTCTAGCATAATACTCAGTGCAATTTCAAAAGCAGAACTTGGAGGGTGCCGTTAGAAGAATCTACCATTGGTTGGAAAAACTAAAAAAAACACGCTTCTATAGCTAACCGAACTAAAAAGTAGAAAATAATTTTTAATTACAAAGAGTTTATATTACAGTAGTAGGTGACCTCAAAAGAAAATTATAATAAAATTTAAGTTATCAACAGAATAATTCAATTCAGAGTAAAAAGCGTGGGGTGCATTTTACAACATTTTCATAACTCTCCTCTCATAGTAGTTGCCAATAGAATGATTGTACCACTTAATATATCAAGCATTTACAATAACTTCTTTATTTTTCAATATAATTTATTTTAACAAGTTGATCTGGATAGGTGAAAAACGCATATTTTAAAAAACCTTCTACAACCAATAGGAGCCAAGATAAAAATTTTTTTTTAATTCATATCTCCTTTGTTTATAAACATTAAGACTCTAAATTTTCACAGATTTTAATCAAGGATCTTAGTTTTATGATCCAATTTATAATTTTACTATGTTTAAAGGTCTTTAAGAAATAGCCATCTAAAGTGAAGGTGGTCACATAAGTATTACCAGGTGATATGGTGGGGGCTCTAGCTCGATTTATTTTTTGAAATCGAGTCTTCAATTCGGAGCGCGCTGTAAAATTTTGCATTAGCTTGGCTTCTAAGCAAGGTGGATCCTTCTTTTTTTAATTTGGAGTGACTCGTCGAAATAATGACGTGTGGCACAAATCCTGGAAAACTCAGCACGTTGTATTCAACAAAATTAAATTACTATTAAATAGTAATGATAAATTAACAATAAATCATTTATTTTACTCTCACTCTAATAAAATAATTTATATTTTATTATAAAATTGTTTAAACAATTCATCATTCAGTTAATTGGTATACTCTTAACAAAATACACTCTAATAAATTGTAAAAAATATTGATTCACGTTTGTCTTTCATTTATATTTATTTTGTTTGCATTCTTTGTGTTATAATAATATCATTTATTTATTTATTTATTTATTTATTTTATTTATTTTATTTATTTTATTTATTTTATTTATTTTATTTATTTTATTTATTTTATTTATTTTATTTATTTTATTTATTTTATTTATTTTATTTATTTTATTTATTTTATTTATTTTATTTATTTTATTTATTTTATTTATTTTATTTATTTTATTTATTTTATTTATTTTATTTATTTTATTTATTTTATTTATTTTATTTATTTTATTTATTTTATTTATTTTATTTATTTTATTTATTTTATTTATTTTATTTATTTTATTTATTTTATTTATTTTATTTATTTTATTTATTTTATTTATTTATTTAATAACAATAATATCCAACAAAGACCATATACAAAAAATTATAAATACACATAAATATAATTCCTCTTCATCAAGGACATCCTGATGACAGAAAGATGCACCTAGATGGTTCAAACCACCTGTATGTGGTTTCATCATCTTACAAAAGAAAAGAAAACGCTATTTATTGGATTATAAAAACAATAAAAAAAAATAATAATCAACCCAATATCCCGAACAATAGTTCAATCATTCTATGATACAAAAAATCATTAGAAAAACCTTTCAAATTGTGCAGTATTCTCAAAAATATATTCTCTGCAGCTGGTGCTAAATGTTTTAATATTTTTCAACTTTTTCAAGCATTCTGGCAGAATGTTATATATCTTTGGTCCTATATACGTTATGTATCTTAAGTTTAGGTTATTGTTATTCTTAGGAATTTCTATTTGCCTTCCCACATTTGCACGAGTACAGTAGTTATGACTTACTTGTTTCTGTAGTTTTTCATTTCTATAAATAAAAGTAGATACTGTCATCACGTACAAGGATCTAATATTACACACATCCTTTGTAAAAAGTTTATTAGTAATGACTTTATGTAGAGCATTATTATACAATCCCCCCCCCCCAAACTAATATCCCATATCTAATTACAGATTCAACAAATGCTTTATAAATGTTGGTCAATAATGATTCCAAGGTATTTAGTTTGAGACACTTCCTGAACAGAATAATTATCATCCAACATAATAGTGCTGTAATTTGGTCTGTTTTTATTGGTCAACGAAAACGCAATATAGTTTGTCTTAGATAAATTCAATGTTAGTTTACTCTCTTGTAACCAGTCTTTTACCATACCTAGACCATACACTGTTTTACACTTTACATCCTCCCAACTAGAACCTGCAAAGAGAAGTACATATCATCAGCATAAGAAATAGTTAAACCCCTCGTGTCCAGCTTTAGCATCTTATTGATATAAATTATAAAAAGGAGCGGTCCCAAAACAGTACCCTGCGGGACACCAATCTTTATTATTTTTTCGTTGCTTGTTATGTTATTTAGTTTTAGCAGTTGTGGTCTGTTTGAAAGATAATCCCTCAGTAAATCATAAGCCACTCCCCTTATACCATTGCTGTGAAGAATTTCGATTAGCTTATCATGAGGAACCGTGTCGAAAGCCTTGGCAAGGTCCAAAAAAACAGCAATACTCTTGTTCCCATTATTCAGATTATTGACAATCTCAGTTATTAATTTCTGCATAGCATCCACTGCACTGTAACCCTCCAGAAACCCGAATTGATTATCTGATAATACATTATTAGCTTTAAAAAAATCCATTAATCGAGTTTTAAGACATTTTTCAAATAACTTTGCAAAATTTGTTATTAAACTTATAGGCCTGTAATTTCCAATGGATGTAGTATCCCCGGATTTATGTATCGGGATAACTATTGACGTTTTAAACTCTTTTGGGACAATTCCAGTTACCAAAATTAAATTGTAAATATGTAACAAAGGTGTTCAAATTTCAAAATGAGTTTGCTTTATAGTTTCAACCTGTATGCCATCATAGCCAGGAGCACTATTACTTTTCAAAGATGCGATATGTTTTATTAGTTCATTCCTTGTAATGGGACTTAACACCCACATCAATAAAATATTCATTACAAAAATTTACCATTTCAATAAAATCAGTAAACTGGTTGCCGTCATTATCATTTATAGATATATAAGATTGACCTTTGTAACTCTTTTCGTACGTTGC